CCATTAGTTACCATAACACTGTCCAATATTAATGTTTCTGTGGTTCTCTTCAAGCAAAACAATTTTTTTCCCTAACACGTCTGTATTTCTCTGAGCAGAACAGAGAATCTCTTCTGGTGTTTTTCTTAAAAATATGTGATTTGCAAATAAGAGCTGATCTGATAGTGGAGATTTAAACTCTTTACTCTCATTTTTCGAAAATCTTAAAAGCTTGAATTGTGTCGTTCAAGAATAAATCAAAACAACAGAGTGGTTTTAGTGGTTTTATTGTTGCACATGAAGTAATATTGGATCATCTTGACTCCTAGGTTGTGTTGTGGCTGGATATGAATGCACTATCAGGGTCAACCAAAATTTAAAAATGTTACAGCTCATTTGAAACAGGCAAGGACATAGTATGCTTATATTACAAGTCTTTAAAGTATTTACAGAAGAGCGTGGCCCCTGGGTCAAAGGTCACTGCTGTAACACGACTGAGATGTATGAAACCTGTGAATAAATTACACAAGAAAAAGACATGCTTCTGATTGAGGCTACGCTAAAGGCCCATACTGTACTTACAATGCCGTGATATAAAAAAAAAAGTGACTAATGACACTTAAAATCTGTGTACAAATATATAAAGGCATATATTTTACATTTTTGCACAGTACAGTGAGTGTTTTGTGCAAACCTTTTTTGTGATTTGACAGTTGATTGAACAAACTACTACACCCTTCCACGCCTTGCTTGCACAGTCTTTTCCTTAAATGCTTTCTTTGCGTGCTGCATTAAAGAACCAGTACCCAGAGGGAGTCTGCAGCCTCCCACAGTGGCATTTCATTTTTTATTTCTTTACATACCAGGAGAAATGTTGCTCCTCCCAGGAGACAGTGAAAAAGTACAAAAAACGGTCACGCTATGGTGCGACAAGTGAACGATTTCGTGAAACCAATTTTTCTGCAGTTACTAAAAAAGCTTTCTGTGTTTCATAAAGATCCTTTGTTAGTGTTTGACTAACGTGAGCGCCACAGTTAAAGCTCATACTTCAATAAGTAGGTAAATTATCTTGTTCGACTTGATCTACCTTTAAAAATTTCTAGATCCTTTCAACATGTGACATGAATGTAAATCAGGAGCGCAGAGACAAAGGGTTTGTTCGTAGGATCCAAAACACCCTGCTGGGTTCACTGGGTAATGACCAGAGTTGGTCTATAAGCTTCTGCGATTAGGAAAAGAAAGTTCTGGCATAGGTC